AAAAAAATTTTTTTTTTTTTGAAAATTTTTTTGTTTTTTTTTTTTTTTTTTTTTTTTTTTTTGCTTCTTTTGTTTTGGTTTTGGTTTTTTTGGTCTCTGATAATGATAAAATGAATTGTTAATTATTAATAGCTAATTTGTACATAAAAATAAGTCACAAGCTGCATTTATTATTGCATATTTAGGGGCTGCGGTAGCCGCAAAACTAGCAACAATCAATGAATCGTGCAACAAAAGGCAATTACGCTAAGACTTTTCATAGTAATGATAATGACAATGATAGTGATAATGATAGTGATAGTGATAGTGATATTGGTTAACTGGGATTTTCTGATTTGATTTGATTTGATTTGCGTATTTAGTGTTGTATTAATTCTCAGGCAATTCGAATTAGTTATTATATTCTCTTATATAAAATTGATTGAATTCAAAATTTTTGTCTTTTTATTTTTAGTTTTGTTTTTTTTTAATATTGCTTGGTTTCTTTGTTCATTTTGTAGTTTTTTGTGAGCATGAACAACAATTTGTCTAAATAATAGTATTTAATGTCATTAAGGTATAAAACGTTAATCGCAGTCTACAGAGGCTATTGATTGCAAACAATTCATTTAACAAACACAATTCGAACAAGCATTTAAATTAAATTATCATTTTCGATATGCAAGATAGCGCCATCTAACGCCGCACGCACGCACTACACATACGTGAGCTGTGTGAGCGGTCGAGCGAGAAGGAGACGGAGAGAGAGAGAGAGCTGAGTTCAGCTTTCTTCGTAGCCACGGCTGCCGCTAGATGCCGCTAATCCCGCATCGATCGATTTCAATAAGCGTTCCACATTGAAGTACATTTGAATGTTTATATATATGTATATAGTGTTTCAAAATCTGTTGATATACTCAGGCGTATTATTTGTTGTTGGCTTCAAAACGAACATTTTGTTGCTTACACCTACATATATATAGTTTATATGTATGCACAATTTGTTAATATGTATTAAATCCTATATTATATATATTCATTTACGACTATATATATTTGTATATATACATATATATAATTTGAGTTGATAAATCGATCGAATTGTATCTTGGAACTAAAGCTAATGATTTAGCAACGTCTTTATATCGGGTTACATATCAAGTTTTATATGTATGTATATGTGTGTGTATATATATTATATATTTATATTTAGATATATGTATGTATAAACGTTTTCTTCAGACTTAAAAATGGAGTTGTTATTGGTGTATTTAGTTTAGTAAGTTTCGAATTGCAATTAGTGTTATAATCGTTAGCTCTTATTGTTTTTTGGGGGCGTGGCATAAGGCGTGGCATCTAATCAAAGAACGCAATTGAAGACAGTCGACTATATACTCGCATATACATATACATATGTATGTATGTATATATACATAAATTTAGATATATTCGTATATATGTATGTATGTATATCAAGGTATTCATAAGCTTGAACTTAACATGAGCTCGTGGTCTGAAGCAGCTTCTTCGGAATTCGAATCTCTATATTCATGCTATATGTATATATTTAAGGCAAATCGCTCAAGTCAAGAGGTTATATACGTTGACTACTATATAGGGGCTATAAACAGTAACAGATCCGGGTACTTTAACATGGATCTGCTATCACCAGGCTGTAGTCTGTGTGTCTGTCTCTATCTCTATCTCTGTGTGTGTGTGGGTTTGCGCTCTCGCTCTCGCTCTAATGTACGCATGGTTGAGGTATCAATGTATTTATAAACTGTTTGCCATCCCACTCGCACTCGCACTCACGCTCGCTATTGCTATCTCTGTCTCTTGTCGACTCTCAGAGTCGATATTCGTAGTGAGCGGAGCGAGAGCGCCGTGCACCGGAATACCAGCGATACGGCACTCGCTGCTGGTGCAAGGCCAGGCCCAGGGCCAAGCCGGAGGCGCCTCCGGCGCTGCCAATGTCCGCGCCGGGACTGCGCGCTAACTGCAAAGTCAGCGCCAGGCGCGCCTGCTAGGAGGACGACGAGGCCGACGGCGATGGGGTGCTGGCGCTGGAGGTATGTCGATGCCTACGTTGCTGCTGCTGCTGCTGTGGCTGCTGCTGCTGCTGCTGCGGGGGCACCTGGAGACCCGGCGATGTCATGCGTCTGCCCAAGACACCCACGGGCAAGTTGCTGGCATCCAGATAGGCCTCCGGACTGAAGCGCACCCGACTATGCTGCGATCCAATGGAGCCCTCCTTGGCGCTCAAGTAGGAGCTGTCGTCGCTGGTCAGCGAGTCGGGCGGCGTCGGATTCGTGGGCGTGCCCTGCTGCGACGAGATGCTGCCATTGAGCGTGTTGCTGTTGTACTTCTTCAGCGAGCTGCGCAGCTTGCCCTGGCTAATCCCCGCCTGCTGCAGTGCCAGCTGTTGCTGCTGCAGCTGCTGCTGTTGCTGTTGCTGATGCTGCTGCTGCTGCAGTTGGTAGCTGAGCGTGTGTTGCTCGAAGGGCAGGCTGGCAGGACGTGCGACAGGCGCATACTTGCTGCCGGCCAGCGGACTGTGCAGCATCCGGTTGAGCAGCTTGGGCGAGCCGGCATAGAACTCCTGCTGACCGGCAGGCAACGGCGGCTGCTGCTGCTGCTGCGACGCCGTCGTTAGCGCTGGCGCAGGTTCGCAGTCGTAGTCCACGTTGAGGTTCACGTTCAGATTGAGATTGTTGTAGTCGTAGAGCAGCTCCTCGTGCTCTAGCAGCACGTTCGAGTTGCTCGACACCGTCGAGGGCGTGCGCCGATGCCCGCCCGCACTGACGCCCATCTGGGGAACGCGCGGGGGCGGCGTACGCGTTTGCAGCGGCGGCAGCGCTGCCACCGCGGCCACCTGCACCGCCTGCACTGCCTGCACCGCTTGCACTGCCTGCACGGGCGGCTCATACTGGTAGTCGTAGTAGTCGGGCAGGCGATGGTTGTAGTCGTAGGAGTAGTCCGGATACGACTTGCAGTCTCGCTCATATGCAAAATTCAGCTCTGGCCGATACGGAAAATAGTTGGAGCCTGCAACATGCAGATGGATCAGTCAAGTAATCTCTGCTATCCAGCTGCCAGCTGGAGGTGGACACTTACCGAAATAGCCGTTGCGATAGGCGCCGCCGTCGTTGGAGTAGCTCGGCCCGTTGCGCAGGTAGTCGGCGGGCGCATAGAGCGGCGGCGGTCCAATGCCGCCGCCCACGCGGAACTCCTCGAAGCCGTCGGCGTTGTTGCAGCTGCTGCTGCTCAGCTTGCGGCGCGGCGACGGCGTCGGCGGCTGGGAGCCGGCATAGAGCAGCGCCACGGCCTGGTTCTGCGGCTGCGGCTGCGGCTGCGGCTGGGGCGGAGGCTGAGGCTGTGGCACAGTTGTCGCCACATGCAGCTGATGCTGGGGCGTGCGCTGCACGGGCGTGTAATACGTTTGGCTGCCGCCCACGCGTCGCTGTGCCACTGACTGAGGCTTGGGCGTGGCCATCGATGGGCCCGTGAGTCCATCCAGGGCTGAGTAGCTGCATTAGTGAGGGAAATTGAACGGTTTCAGCATAAGTTAATAGTCCGATGTCAAATATTTAACAGCCAGTTAAGTGTATTATAGTCGAAACATGGACAACAATGTCAAGCATTCAACTACCAGTTAGAATAGTTCTCAGAGTGTAAATATCATGTTAAACTTGACTTGACATCAATAAGACGTATTTGATACTAGAAGAAAATGCACTGGATAATTGCTAGTTTGACAGACACTTTAGCAGCAACTATCGACTGTTAAGCATTATCTTTAGGATCAAGTTACTATATTATGAATTAGATAAGCAAATCGGTAATTATTAACCATATTCGAAGCTGGTTCGAATTTTGATTAAATGCCAAATATTTAGTCTCTAGTTAAGCGGGATAGTCCTCATATGAATTGATTATCATTTTAACTGATAGTTAAATATTTAAAATTCTGATTAAACGAAAAAAACATATTGATTGCTAGTTTGACATGATGTTAAAATTGACACTCACTATACTTTATTGTTAAATATTTATCATTTTAGCTAACCGAAAATAACATGATGTTAAGGGTTTGATTAAACCTTATTTGTATATTTAGCACTCATCAATTCATAGTTATTTGAATGCTCAAGTTAATTTTGATAGGCACATTAGCAAGACTGCCAAATATTGTGTCGAGCTTGGCAGTAGGTTAAATATGAAAAAACTATCACTTGATGCAGGAATTGGCAGTAGGCCAATAGGTCTTAACATGATGCTACAACGTATGATCAAACTAGCTAATTGTTGAATATTTAACATACATATATGTAGATTCTATGTGGTGAATGAAAATAGAATTAGATGATCTTGACAGGGGATCTACTTGGAACTATTAAACATTAGATCACACTTAACAACAGACTTAGCGATTGACTAAGTTATTTGTCAGATTAATCGAATTGTCAAACATTTAACGTCTTGTTGGTATAATGCTTGACGAGCACTTACCTCACGGAGTTCCGCTTGGCGTCCAAGTGACGCGTTGTGTCCACTTGATGCTCGCCTTGATCGACCTGATCCGGCAGCTGCTCCTGCTCCTCCACGTTTGTCGCCCTCGGCGCCGCCTTCAAGGCGGGCAGCTCGCTGAGCAGCGTCGGGTGCACCGGCGACACGTTGGACATGCGCACATCGTAGCCGGCAGCGACGCCCGCCAGCAGCGAGGCCATGTTGTAGAGCAGCAGCTCGATCACGGAGAGCTTCGGCTTGCGGGCCGCGTCGCCGGCGTAGAGCGTCGGGAGGGGCACGTTGCTGGTGAAGCGGCTGAGCAGATACGGAGAGGGCGACATGATGGGCATGTCCGCTGGTCCCGAGCGCCAGTCCTCCTTGCTGTTGCCCTGGTAGCCTGTTGGGGCGAGCCCGCAATGCGGCAGCGTGAGGTGAACAGTTGACGAAACAGTGTTGAGAAACGTGTGGCTAAACGGTTACTGTTACTTCGGTTGTGGGTGTTGGTAAGTAGCTCGAGAGTGGGTCAATAGGGACTAGGGGCTGGAACGCGGGAACAGGGGCAGGGTTCACCACAGGCAAGAACCAACCTACACCACTGAGAGATCTCGAAAAGCTCGTGCTAAATTAAATGTTCGCTTTTGTTTTCGCTCTCTTCATATTATTTTTAATGTTTTATTGTCCGTTTTCGTTAATGTGTATGCTCGTTCTTGTTGTTGTTGTTGTAGTTGCAGTTGTTCTTCATTTCTTTTTATTGTTATCCCGTTTTCTCTTTGTTGTTTGGACTCTCCAAATTAAAAAATACATTTTTAGGTATACAGATTACATTCAAGGTAAAAAAAACGTAAGAAAAACAAACAAATAATCTAAAGGAAATAGAGAGTGCTCTAGTCGCCGATGCTCGACTAGCCGGTACCCTGTACACATAGAGCAAACAACTGTAGGCAGCAAATCGGGAGTTTTCAAAAGTGTAAAATCTGATATCGAAACATTCTTGGCAGACAGACATATAGATAGATTATATATTGTATTATACATGTGTATATGCTTACGGAACCGCTTTATATGGGCACAAATCTAGTTTCTTCAGGGTTGCCATTGTCAATGTTTACAGGGTATTTTTGAAAAATAAAAGCTTGCATACAGTAATACATAAAACAAATTTCTTTTTCTTTCTCATTTTTGTTTTCTTGATGTTTGGTTTCTAATCATTTTTCATCACAGTTTTTTTTTTCTGTTTTCTTTTTTTTTATAAATCAAATACTAAAAATAAATAAAAGCCAATTGCAATTCAATTAAAGTCTATGTAAATAAAACTGCACAAGAATACCAAAGAAAGAAAATCTAAAGATTACAGCAATTTCAAGATTGATCAGAGAGCAGAAGCAGAAGAAGCAGAGAGAATCTTCAATCTGGCTACTGCTATCAGAAAGAAGTAAACAAACCAACAAAAATATGATGTAAAACTAAAGCTAAGCTCAACTAAAAATTGTCCTCTTCTTCTGTTGTTGCTGTAATTATGCGTTTCTCATATATGTATATGTATATTGTTTATGTGTATATCAAATATTAGATATGTATGGAGTTATACAGATAAATCCTTCACTTAAATGTCGATAGCTTTCCATAAATATTTTATATTGTGGCGAACAATTCTCTGATTTCTTCACGCTCCACATTGTGTTAGCAAGCGCTATATATGTATATGTATATATCTCCTATGGAACCAGATACATGTCCATATCGTATGACTCGTTTTTATCTAGTCCGCTTTCATTCGCTTAAGTTTCTTTCACTGGTCGCTTTACTTATGCAAATAGCAAAATTTTGCTCTGATAATTTTCTGATAATCTTGGCGCTTTATACCTGAGTTTCAACTTTATATATATATATTATTTTATCTAATGAAATTCAATTCCACAGTAACACTTTGTATTCGGGCATCGGCCCTTTAAAAATGACGTTTCGTTTGTTTCTAGGTATTTCCCTCTGGAGTATATTCAGCTTCAGTAGCTTTGACATATTTTGTAGGGCTTCACTAAAACTCTTACTATACGGTACACATATATATA